GAGTAATGGCTATGCAGATGCTACCAATACGCTGCTCTCAAGCATACTCAGTTGGAATTCTTCAGAAGTGTGAGGTCAGGACAGCTGCTATAACGTGCACCTCGAGACTTAGGACAGGATAACAGCAGCTAACCAAAGGTATTTTAACAACTTCAGTGACTCCCATCTTCTCTTGTAACACGCTGGTGAGTCAAAGTGATGAAAACAGCGTAGATAATGAAATGTGCTCTCTTAACAGCCCAGATACTTCTCTAGGTCAGTCCCTTCATCTTGAAAAGTTCCTCTGTAACAGGCAAAAATTAAAGGCAACTTTGCATCTTGGCCGCTGCTGATGGGCTGAGCGCAAAGCATTTGACTTTTGGGAGAGGCAGAGCTGAAGAGGGGCACGGGGAGGTAACGTGGAGCAGCGCTTTTGGGTTTCCTCGCCCTTCCTTTGTGATTGCAGCTGTTCATAGCTCGCTTATCTGAGATGTTTTGCTTTGTTTGCTGCTATTTGGACTAAGCTAAGCCAAGCTGTTCCTGTGCTGATGCATTAGGGGAGCTGGTGTGGAGCCTTACGGACTTGCTGGCATGAAAAGGTTAGGACTGGGTGGGGGGGACTGATGGCAGTTTTGAATCACCAGAATGAAGAAAGGAAGGAATAGGGAATAGAGGAGCTCTGGGGGAGAAGGTGAGGATGGCAGCGTGGCAGGAAGGGAGGGGCTGGGACAAGGCTGTTTCTTTGAACCAAAAGCTGCTCCTTGCAGAGGGGGGCTCAGGGTGCAGCAGTGTGCCAGCTCGAGCTCTGGCGGGCCAGGTGGGCAGGGTGCATCACCTCCCCCTCCCAAAGGCACCGAGAGGTCTGGGCTGTGTCAGATCCCACCTCAGCAGGTGCCCTCGTTAGAATTACATATGGTTTGATACAGATCCTGCATGTTGGCAACATGGGCGATGCTCCATCATTTTGGTTTCATATGATAAAACTGATGATAACGTTAAGTACAACTGCATTTTTAATAAAACATACTGTGCATATGATCCCATTTTGATGTGTGCCTTCTTCCTTTGTATACAAAGTAAGAGTTTGTGTGTGTGTGTCTGCTTAACTTGAATATTGCAGTATTTTCCACAGTATTTCATTTGTTTACACTTAATAAAACTGTGCCCTTCTTTTTGGAGGTGAAGCTGACGTTTCTTCCCATATGCTTTAGGCCTGCAAGCAGTCCCTGGGCTCCTGTGAGTATTGCAGGCGGTGCTATATAGATCAGCGCTGCTGTGTAATACTAAAACCCTCTGTTTCCCAAAATGCAGTTCCTGTCAAGAAAACCCTGTTTTCTGTTGCCAGGGACCATCACACTTTGAACTCTAAACAGATTTTTTTGCTGAAATAGCGATCGGGTGGTGTGTGAGAACTGATTCGTGTGTGAGAACTGATTCATGTGCTCATGATCATTCATATTCCAGAACCCACATCAAACCTGTTTAAAATATCTTTCCGACGGCTCAGCATTACAGCAAGATGGTGATTCATTGTTATCAGGGGCTGGCTGGAGGTTTCCAAAGGGAAACCGAGGGTGTTGGTGCTCACTTCACACTGACTTTCTACGTGTTGTTAGAGCCTGTTTGTCACTTAGCAGCTCTGCTATGCTGAACTTCTGTTAGGTTTTGTGTTTGATGGCTCCAAATGTATATGAGAGTAAACCTGCATGTGTGTGAAGCTATGCAGCTGTTACTTTGAAAGAAGTGTTATGTCCCAGCTGTAGCTATTTGCTTGCTCCAGAGTACTCGGACAAGGACCAAGATGTCTGATATGGCAGAATTTCACGTGGGCTGGTTGTGCTCTTTGAGTTCAGAGTAATTTTTAGTGTCACGATGCAAAAAAGGCTATTCTGTGCTAGCTCTGCAGATACAATTATTCCATGTCAACTTTTGCCCCATAAACACCTTTCATTTTACCTCCTTTATCTTGATTACACCAACACAAAGGCACTCTCCTCTCTGGCTGATCCTGTCAGACACAACCTGACACAGCATGTGTAGCCAAATAAATACATCACTGTGTGTGTTTGGGGAGTTAACAGAATACAAATTAGTTCTGGTTGGTTCTTTTTGCATAAGGTATGGCCCAGGACGTTTCAGAGATAAGGTAAGGTTGAAGCAAAATAAGGGGAAATTAAAAATGGAGCTTACTGAAGATGTAACTCTTGAGCATTAAAATAGGATCGGGAGTTAATGAAGTAGGGGGCTTTGTTCAAGGCCAGGGTATAACCAGTTCACCAAGTGAAAACTGCACCTACGAAGGGATTTGTTTTTGCAGGGGGTTGTATGTGTTACTTGGAGGGTTCAGGTTGAGCTTAAATACCATATTCTCTACCTATGTGAATTTTAGCTGTAACTAATAAAGTCACTGTTTAAATGTTTTATCTGCTAAACCTTATATCCAAGGCTTTTGTTTTGGTTGTGGGGATGTGTATTTTTCCAGCAAGCAAAATCATTCCTTTTTGTGATCTGGGAACAGTGGCTGCTTGAAACAGCAGGAAAGGTAAGGTGGAGTTTGCAGAATAGGTCACTTACTGTGGTTTAAGATACTGGTACAACAGTAACTTTTGTTCTGGACTAGACTGTAATGCTTTAATGTAACCTTTTCTCTTTCATACCCTAATTAATTCCCCTTTAAACATTACTAGTTTGGTCATTTTAAAGTACTGCATATTGGAATTTTGGAAGCTGGTTTTAAGTGCCTTAATATTTCACACCTACGCTACATATTCCACTTAATGCATAAGTTTCATTCCGGTATTAATATCCATCAGAGAGACATTTAATTTAAATACCAATCGCAAAAAAAGCCCCTGCATGATTATGCGATGTGCAGGCTAATCAACTAAGTAATCAAAACAGCCTGAATCACTGTCTTCCCTTTTCACCTCCGCTGGTCTCTCTTAGAAAAACCGAAGCCCTGAAATCCCGAGTTTGCCCTTTTCCTCGCTGGGTGGCTCTGTTGCGTCCACAAGTATGGAGGCTACTAAGATTATTTCCCCCTTTTCTTCTGCTTCTATGGCCGTAGGGAGCATTTGTCTTAATATCACGCCTTTCTTCCTACCCAGCTCAGTCAGCCCCCCTGGGGACAAGGCGGTCACCGCGGACCTGTGTTATTTTACATTTTTTCCCTGGTCTCGGCACTGGGCTTGTCAATGGACAGGCTGGGAAAGGGAGGGAGAGAGGAAAGATCCGCGAGCTGGGTTTGGGTGAATTGGAGAGAGAGCACTGGGCTGGTCAGGACTGGCGGGGGAGCTGTTTGCTGCTCTTGGAGGGACTCGGATGCACGCATCCTTCGGGGTTTAGTTTCCTCCCTCATTTCTCAGTATGGTTTTCTTACTGACCGTAAGCCTAGAAAATCATGAAAAGTTGCATTTAAAGGTTTTACTGGTTTTGACGAATGTCAGTAGAGTTAGTAGCATCACTGGGGAAATGTGGTGAGCTAGTTTTCAGGGCTGCTGAGACCTGCAACTCCAGCTGAAAGGTACAACTCGGGGGCTCAGCAGTTCTTCCTGTTGGTCGTTCAGCACTCCCCGGGGAATGTTCTCAGTGCTAATATTTAGTGAGGATTATCTGAGCTGTTTGATTATTTCGTACTGTTTGATTTTGCAGTTGGGGTTTGCTTCCGAGAACCTACTGTAGAAAGATGAATAATTAAACTGCAGACAGGAAGCACAATATTTTAATGCTCAATTGCTTCAGAACCATCTTTGGCTTTCTTTTTTATGATGTCTAAGTCAGCAGGGGCCTGACCGAATGATGGGTCTTGGCATTCGCTACCAGTTTTACGTGCTCAGAGATGCATTCGGAGGTGCTAAATGTGAGGTTCAAGCCAGCTCTGCTCGTTACAGTGACCAAATCTGGCTACTCATGTGCAGTAGGAACAAAATTTGACTGTGCGTGGATCCCTGGGATTCAATAAAACCTACTGTACTAGATTAGTTTCAGATGTTTCTGTCTGTCGAGGAAGTCTGCTCTCCTTGCTACTGGTGGAACCCACTTAGGATGTTTTTATGTTTTCTTTTCTCATCATGGGTTAGTCATGAAAAAAACTGCCAAGCAAGGCTTTGTAACAAAACCCCGACTGGTGCATTGAATTGGCCAGTTAATAGAAGCTGCTCAGAATGTCATTCTGAAATGGATGGGTTCGGTTTTCTGAGATGCATCAGAAAGGTCGGGTGAGGGTCCTTCCTGCCAGTTCTCATACACACCTAGGGTTTTAGGATTTTCTGAAAGGACCCCCATCTTTTAGGAAACAATCTCCAGCTTGGGTGAATTCAAAGACGTTTTGCCTGCTGTAGCGGTAAGTAAAATTGAATAAACTGCAGGGGGTGCAGCACTGCCCTCCAGCATTTCCCCAGTGCGTTATGCTCACATACGGGGTCTGTGAACTTCCAGCTCGACTGCAGAAGCAAATGGAAACTCTTAAAACCAGGTCAAACGGGCCATACAGCAGAGGCTGGAGGACAAAAGCAGATGTATCTTTCGTTAATAGATACTAGATTTGATATTCATTGGATAAAAGAAATGAGCTATTCCATAGACTAAGACAACGGAGTAAACAGTTTGCTCTAGTTCTGTTTCTGCCAGCTGTCAGGGTATGTGCTGGCACAGGTAGATGATGAACAACGAGTTTGATCTGGGACACAATGTACTCATTAATGCTGTATTGTGGGTAGATTGCAGGTCTGAAGACGTTATAGCGAGAGGAGCCAATCTCTGTGCATCTCCAAGCTTAAAAGGAAGATCTTAATAAGGACTTCTGAACCTGACTAGTTGCCTTGTAGGAAATCATAAGGTAAGCCGTGTTTATTTTTCTGTCATTACCATTAAATTAAGTCCAGCATAAGGAAAGATTTACCAAGTTATCTGAAACAATGAGTGTTTTTCATGTTGCTGTCTTCATGAAAAATACCTGTGGTGTTAGTCTTACAACGTGAGTGCAGGTGTACTTGACAGACTCACTCTGACAACTAGAGGCGCGTCTGCATGCTGTCTTTTAATTATGGTATAAATAATTTCCCAAACTGTAAACTAATCACAGGTAATACATTTCTGTACAAGCTCATAAATACATAAGTATCACACATGTTAGCAGACAGGGGCGTGACTGGCTTTCTCCCACCAGCAAGGCTCTGGCTTATTTCCACACCCTGCAGAGCTCCTTGTAAAGCTCACGTGAGCATTTTGTATTTCAGGATTGCAGCCCGAAAATATCCCAAATCAACATAGGGTCTGTTGATTTCTATATAGCTGACCTTTCCTTGGAAATATATTATTGTAAGGCTTAAACTCTTATGATGAAGATAACGTGCAAGACTGTTGTTAATAGTCTACCAATAGATATTACCAGCTTGCTTTCCTCCATGTTGTGCATAGTTAATACGAGTACTGAGCCTGGACTACTGCTGGGTGGGGGGAAGGTTGTACCCAGGTATGAAATGCAGCTGCGCTGCGGGGCTCTGTTCAAGGGAAAGCAACTTCTCGGACATTTATGACCGATTGTAGTTTCCTTTGAAGCTGCGTGTATGTGCCCTCCTGAAGAGGGATGACATCGGGGCTTCTCTGATGGATAGGAGTTTTGTTGAGGGGGAAAAAATTGCAAAAGAATTAACAAACACAGTATCAGAGGAGAATTCAGGCCCCATGAATTTCATAGCTTTTTAACCCTGATTTAGAGGAATTTACTTCCTCTCTGATGCCCAAGAAAAGGATGTTCTTCTAAGGTAATCTGCTGCTGGAAAAAACAAAATGCTTCAAAATATTGACTATTCTTTCAAAAACCAAGCAATCCGGCGTTCTTGTCCGATGCTTAAAATACTTGTGAAGTTACAGACTGACTGAAACTTGGAAAGCCCAACAGAAAGATTGCTGTGTGGTTTTGCTTTCTTGCAATAAATTTAGAAAGGCTTTTATTCTGAAGCCCTTTTGTCTGAAGACTACTTTCTCCGTTCACATGACACCTGCAGCAATATGAAAAGTCTTGGCTGCTCTTTGCAGTTGACTGTATGCCAGGCAAGAGCACCGACGAGGTCTATAGAAACCAGCCCAGCCCATTGACAAGTTTTCCTTTGGTTTGAAGAAGCTCCCAGATGTGACACAAGCAGCAGCTCTGTGTGGTTTTACCCTCACAAGCGAAGGCCAAAGGATGTCTCCAGATGCAAACCTTCTGAAGATCTGGATTAGATGGTGAGAGAGATCGGATACTGTTGGATGACTTTGAGTTTTCACTGAGTGCCAGTTGGCATAGCGTAGAGAGCCTGAGCTCATGGAAGTGCCAAAAACTGGTCCCCTGAGTTTTGAGTGTGTCAAAGGAGCAGATACTTGAACTGAGGAGTTGCTACGAATAATGAAAAATCAAGACTCAGAGGGATCAACTCAAAGTTCTACTTGTCCTTTCTTGAAAGGCCCTTTGGAAGTCTGCCCCTTCGCAGTTATCTATTTACCTGTCCGTTGCTCAACCAGCCACCCCAGCCTCAGCATCCAGTTTGTCTTCTTGTAGTCCACCCTATCTGCAACGTATAGGACCCCATTTCAATAGCTGCTAGTTGTTCTTTTCTTCTCTTCTTATGAGGCCTACAGAAAGCCAACCAGGCAGTAGCGATTTGATTTGAGCATACGCTAAGGTGACTTGATTTCCTTTACTCTAGTTATTGTGTAGTTTGGTCATTTCTCAATGAGTCCGAGTCAAGGTAACAAGTTGACAACGATCCCTGTGCTCCTTGGCGTCATCTCTTACCCTCTATCTTCTTTCATTTCTCACATTTCCAACAAGGCTGAAAAATCTCCAAGGACTGCATTTTGCAATGTGTTTTTACACATTCGCCCACTAAGCACTACTATAATTCTAATAAATAATAATAAATTAAAGATACTGTTATGATTATTTGGATTCTTTAATGGAGAAGGACCTACCCGATATGTGCGTGCAAATGTGGAATCTTGGCAAATTCCTGCAACAGTTTGTCATCTTCTCTTAACATTGTAAATAAGATGTGCTAAAATACTTCTAAAGTCAGTTAATTTGGTTGCAACAGTCCCAGGTTCCCTTTCTCAGCTGGTTTGCCACGTGTTTCTGCTGCAGTCTGCCTGTATTATCTGAGGGGTGATGCCTGTGTTGTTATTTGAGCTTTCTTTTTCCATTGGAAAGGCTTCTTCACTTGCTTCTTCTGAGTGCAGGAAAGACGTGGGCTGTGGAGCAGGTTCCACATTAGCCAGATCTCAGCAACTTTCAGACTGTGAACTACCATGAGATCTTTGTAAAAACAGGGGTCAAATGTCTGTAGGTGTGGGGCAGCAGAAGGCTTGACAATGCCAAAGGTCTTGAATCCTTCATGCAAAATGGGTTTGAGATTGATTCTCTGTAAGCACATGCCCAAAAAGACATCGTCGATGGGGAAGAGTTCCACCTCTCTGCAAGCCCTAGAGAGCTTCCTCATGGTGCGGCTGGACAGCAAAAACCCTCCTCCGCCTGCGTAGGCTGGGTAGATGCTTAGCCCATACATGGTCTCTGGGATATAGTATTTGCTCTTTCGGACACGGATAGGGCGGGCATTGTAGATGATGTCCCCAACAAAGAGGTCCTCAGTGGGGTCATGTCTCTCAAGGAAGTCAACAATGTTCTCGACATTGACAAAAACATCAGCATCACCTTTAAAAATAAATTTCACGTTGTGGCAGAACTCGGCAGCCCAGTTCAGGAAGTGGATCTCCTTCAGGGTCAGATTGAAGAAAGTGTCCGTGAAGTCCCAGAGTAAAATGTCCCGGTATGTCTGACTCTCCTGGTGGATCAGGGTCTCCCATGTTGCCAGCACAGTCCTATTCTTTGGTGTTCCCAGGAGGAACACTCGCTGGATCTGCTCCCCGTTCACCAAACCCTCCCTGCCCCAAGTTTTCCGGACAATCTCACGTCTGTCGAAGTCTTCAACTACCGATTTGATAGCAATGAGCAGAAAGGGACCTCCAGGTGTTTTCCTGCATTTCTTGGGCTGGTTAATGAGGAGATTGAAGTTCCTGTTATCCTTGTTTAGGAGATAGTGCTTGAAGTTGAAGGCAGAATCAGTCAACGGGGGAGGACGTGTCGTTTGGACCCTGTTGTTGGCCACTTCTGTTCGTCTAATGATAGGAGTTACTTGGGGCCTGGGTACCGTTGCCTCTGCTGGCGTCGGTCTCCAAGGTGCTCTGGGGTCAGAGAGTATTTTCGGTGTTACTGAAGGCTTCTTCTGTGTCGGCTCCTTGTTTCCTACTGGGACTAAATGTTCCAGTTGGGAGTAGAGTAAAGAGCAAAGCGCTACCAGCAGGAAGAGGGTACAGATCGCATCCCCTTTGAGACGAACTCTCATTGTCTCCGCGGTGTTTCTGGGACTGTTAAAAGCTGTGTTTGAGCTGCCTGGCACCAATGTCCAATTTATCTGTAAATAAACGTACGGTGTGTCAGCAACGAGGATTCGGCAGCTTTGAAGCACGCAGGCAGGACTAAGTGAAACACCATTTAAAAAACTAGCAGCAAAGCGCATTTTACTCATACAAACACTGAGACACGTTAAGGAACTTGCCAAAAGGCACACGGGTCGCAAACCTAACACTGATCCTAGTGCTCTGGCTCTGTGACTTGGTTAGTTAAGTCTCCAAGCCGTCATCCTGAAAACCTGTGACTTGGTTAGTTAAGTCTCCAAGCCATCATCCTGAGCACTCCCTAAGCACAGCGTGAAATGAGCCCTTCCTCCCCCATCCCTCTCTGCCAAACGCGTTTTGCCATTCAGAGCTTTCACTGCTTTGGGAAGAACAAGGTGGAAAATCATGAACAATGCCATTCTTCCATAAATCATTAGATTATTTTTTTTTCTTCCCTTTCCCCCTTCCTCCCTCCTCCCCCCTCCCCCCCCAACTTGGTAACTGGTTCTTGCTGCTTTTACACCTTTTGAGTCGAAACGGGGAGGCAACGGAGCTGGCTGTTGAAGGGCAGACTTTTCAGCGGCAGCGTGTCACTGGCGTTTCCCTGCACGCAGAGCCAGCTCTCGTAAACCAACTATGATTTGTGCCTTCAAAATGAATACGTTAGGCATGCTCTTGAATGCACATAGGGCCTTTTTGCTGCCAGTAATCTTCATAAAATATTAAACCATTATAAATAACTTCCATTAATAAGGTTGGAAGGGGCACGGGTGTTTTGCCTCTGCCAAATCGCCCTAACCGGTAAGCAAGAGGTGGGCAAATAAATCCCAATACGCAGAAGCAAGGCAGAGCCTGGTGTTAGGAATGTTTTATTCACGTGTGAGAGATGAAGCTGCCTTTTGAAATACAAGATTTGATTCCTCACTCACGCTTTTCCCGGAGATCATCTGTCTCATTCGATCAGTTCTTCAACTGCAAACAAACAAACAAAAAAAAAGAGTAGTAAGAAGGCAGAAAGCAGCATGTTCAGGGAAAGAGCTGGTCAAGCGTCTGTAGCTGCAGCAAGGGCAGGTCCTCTCATCGCCACCGTACGTGCAGCCACGCCGTCCCCGCCAGCGGCTAACAACCGAGCTGAACAGAGGGGACCTGACAGTCGCTCCGGGCTCCCGAAGAAGGCAGGAGACAATTGTAATCCTTACAGACGTTAGCAGGGAGCATGTTCCTAAAATAGCTCTACCCCAAAATTTTCCCACACGTGCACATAAGTGTTCTTATATAACCCACTGATAATCTTTTACACTCGTATGCGACTAGTGCTGCATTAGTAGAAGCTACCTTTGAAGGTATTACAGTTGTCTGTCTTGAATTAGCCGAGATCATCTTACCCAAAAAACTTCTTGATCGAAAGCTGCCTGGCTGAACGTCAGTCTGCCTTCACTTAAGGAACGCTCCTTTCGGAGGACAGAGAAGGGAGGAGGAGCCAGGGCTTCCAGCTTCCTACGCAATTTATTCCTGCAGTTCACTGTTTTCAGCGTTGTTAGCCTACGGAGCACACAGATGGATGCCCTGCCTCCAGTCGAGGCCGGTAGCCACTTTACTGACTCAAACACCTAATGGGCAGCTACGTGCTTGGTAAGAATATTGTCATTCGACGCGATTATGATTTAAAACAGGACCCTCTCTAGTTCGGTGGCATCCGTTTTCAGCAAATCCTTTTTCACTGTCATGGATTGTATCACCCACTAATTGTTCATTAACCATCAAATTTGTATCAGCCGTAACATTATCTTTTTGAAGCTCAAAATTAGACTGACGAGTCTGTAGTTGTGAAGTATTAAAGTAGCGGCACAACATTACCTCCGGACCCTGTGGGATCTAGGCAATATTTCAAGACCAATGGAAAAGCAAAATTAATAAACCAGATGAATCTTTTTTTTTTTTTCGGTCAGCCCCTTTAAAATTCTTAGATGCACATTACTTGGACCTCAATGTTAAAATATTTTGCTTTTTCATTACTGGTTAACTGCATCTCCAAGTTACTGTTGAAATGGAGAGTATTTCATCACCGTGTGGTATCCGCTATCTTTTTTTTCCCAAGTGCAGCTCCAAAATACTTACTGACCTCGGCTGCTTTCTCTCCAGTATTACTGAAAACTTTATTTTAGCAAATGGCTTATCCGTGCCTTGGTAAGGCTCTTTGCGTTCCCAGTGGATTCAAAATCACTTCCTCCCTGTCCTGATGGCCATGCTTTTTTCCTCAGGCTGCCTTTCTCAACGTTTTCTGGCCTCTAATAGAGATTGCTGGGGTTTTCTCCGTTTGTTGGCTTTTTTCACTGTACCTTTCACTTCTCTCCTAGGCTGGGCAGGTGTTTTAACCGGCATAGCTTTGATATTGATAGCAGGATTGTAGAATTTTCTCTGATCTCTCATAAATTGTTGTTAAAATGCTTATAATAATCAGAAGCTGTTTTCTGTTTATGCTTTTTCTGCCACATGACTTGGCTCATAACTGTTTTCAGCCTCATGAAACAGTCTCTTCTAACGCATATAGGATGTTAGTTTGCCTTTTACGTCTGTCGTGTGCAAATTACCCTTGGCAAGTCCTGATTATGGTTCTCTCCAGCAAGCCGCTGTGTTTCAGTTTTGTGCTCAATCATCCTTTATCTGTCAAGACATGGTTCCCAGCAGGCTTTCCTTCATGTTGCTTTCAATAATTTGGAAGGCAAGCGCTGGGGGTATATGAAAGGATGGTCCCACTACACCCAGGACAATGCTGCTGAACTGGATCCGCTAAGCAGACGGAGTCTGTCCCTCTTCCGCCCATCGCGAGCAAGAATTTTTGCTCGGTGCTGTTGAGATACCTAAAATAGGGACCCTGTCTCAAAAAGCTCATAAGAACTAAAGTTGAGGCATTTTTGCTCCTTCTGTCGCGATGGGTTAAGCTTTATTGAAGTGCTACGCAGCTCTGGGCGCGTGGTCTCCAGAGCAAGCAGGAGATGTGGCGTCCCTGGTGGGGGACAGATCCTGATAGCTTTGGGATGTTTGTGTATCTCCACTCAAGCTCTTCATAAAGTCTCATCTCTTTCCCAGCTGTAATAGCAATTTTTTTTTTTCCTTTTCTATGCAAAAGTTTGATCTTATTTCAGCTGCCAAGCTCCAGATGGTAATTAAGAAGCTGGATGAAAGTCCTGGCTCTTTCCTGTATTTAATTTTATCGGCGAGGGTTTGGAATAAAGCATGTGTGTCATGAAACTCGTAATTTCCATGACTTACAGATTTATCCTGCCAGCATCTCGGAATCTGGCAATAAGCGCCCTTGGAAAAGCCAAGAAAAACCCTGAATTGTTACAAGCCTGGGCTGATAGCCCAGATTTTCTTCGGTGTTCTCATTTATTGAAAGAAAGGAATCCGAAATAGCGATTTCCATGCTGAAACAAAACAGTTCAGTGCTGAATATAGACATCTCATTTTCAAAAGAAGTTGCCAGGCCTTGAAGTGATTCCTCGATCGAATGATATGGATTTTCCAGTCTTTGTTAGATATTTCCTTCCTTCCAAGGAAATACCCTCGATTGTTACGCAGGTGTGAGCTCTATCCATGGATGTCAGTGTGGGAAAAGCTGTCCTGTTCTTGAATTCAGAGGGATTGATGATTCTGGCAGACACTCCGGTATGTCCTAAAGCCAAAAAGATTATTCATCCACCTTGATGTGGAGGCTGGCGGGGGGGGGGGGGGGGAATTATGGGGCTATCAAAGTGAGCAGAAAATATTTGATGCCAAACAAAAGAGATGTGAGCACAGCAGAGCAGTTCTTGGCACAGCATCTTGCTGCATGTCTGCATCCAAGGTGGACACGCCTCTGCTTCGTACGCCGCCATGGGGGATCTTCATCCAACTTGTGAAACGGAGCCGGGGTTATAAAACTGCTGCATCACTCGGTGCCTCGGGGAATGCGGGCTTAGCTGCCAGGGCTGCCTCCCATGTCCCCCAAGCTTGGAAAAGTGGCCACGTGTCCCTCTTTGCGTTGGCTGCCCGGGGATGGCTACAGTTGAGATCTTGAGTCCAGCTCGAGCGGGGCTGAATGGGACGGTGCAGTTTGCCCCAGCAGTGGGACAAGGGGGGTCCTGGGGAAGGCTGGGAGTGACACGTGCTGGGCTGCAAGCACCAGCAATGTTAGAGGGCTGAGCTGGGCTGTAGGAAGAGGCTGAGAGGTCCCGTATCCATGAGGTGGAAACACAGGGAGCCCGTACGTAGGGAATGTGCTGGAAGGACCAAGGGGGCCACAGCCTGGGCGGCCTGAGAGGCAACGAAATGCTCGAAAGCTGGAAGCGGCCGGAGCTGGGCAGGGCACCCTGGTGAACATCCAGGCGGGGAATCTGACCTGCGCTGTTGCACGCTCGGGCAGAGGGCCCAGTCCTCCGCCTGGTTTTCATTTATTTGAGAGGAGGATTCTGAAATATGGCCAAGGAGTGCTGCAATAAAAGCAGTTAAATGATGATTTTTTTTTTTTTTTTGAAGTTGCTAGTCCTTCATTCCCAGCTGAATGACGTGAAGCCTTGAGCTCATCCTGGAAACTTCCTTCTTTTGCAGCAGCCGTCACGTCTCCATCACTTGGCACTTCAGCTCACACGGGCCCAGGTGGGGAAAAGTCTCTGGATCCTGTCTCCGAGTTCAGTCAAGAAGCCTTGGTTATTCTGGCACGTTGCTTTGTGCCTTGAAGAGTGGTTATTCGACCCGCCCAGCCTTGGGAAAAGCAGCTGCGGTAGCGAGGCAAGCTGAAAGTGTGGTACACCGAGCAAGAGGGTACAAAACACAGCAACGAGCTCTGCTGCACACTCGTCCCAGCCTGGCTCACGGGAGCATCCGTCCCCACCAAGCACGGCTGTGGGTTGTCCCTGGATCAACTTGCACGCGAAGTGTTTCCGGCTCCCCTCCTCGCTCTTGAAGCTGGAGCTGCCACTGGTAGGTTTGTGTTGTGCAACGGAGGGGCCGCATGCGTTGTGTGGCCACGCAATACGCGGGGCAGCGGTTGCTGATGGAGATGACTTATCTGTTTCTCTGTACAATGAGCTAAAGAAAGCGTTGGGGATCCAGCACCGGTGGGTTCAATGAGGTTTTTTGCAATCCTCAGGGGAACTTTGGAAAATTCTGGGTGATGGGGGTGCTTTGAGGCAATGCTTGAGGTTTTGGATATTTGTTTTCATTTCATGTTTGTTGAACGTAGTTCACGAGAACAAAGTCGGGTTGTAACGCCCAGTGGTGGAAGCTGAGACCCAGGCTCTGGCCTGCAGCGGGGAGGTCTGCGCACGTGTCCCCCTCCCGCCTCATTTCCAGCAGTTTTTCCATCCTGATTCACTCACAAGAGCAAATCAAGCTCCCAGGCCCTTCCTCACCTCGTGCTGCTGTTCCTCTGCTGCCTCCACTTGACACTGTTCAAGAACCCACCGGCAACAATAATAATATACCCTATGCCCATCCTGCAGCTGGGACTGTGTAAAACAGACGTGCGCAGATTAGCTTCGTCCCACCAGACCAGGATGCTGACGGCAAGAAGTCTGCACCGCCTGAAGGGCTGGTGACTACACCTTCCTACCAACGCCCGCTTAGTCTCATCCTCCGAGCCCCCAAGGGCCCGGAGAGCGCTTGACTTCTGTGTCTGCACCAGTTTAGTTTAAATGCATTGCTGAACGCGCAGATACGAGTAGCACTCTGTTTCGTGTGGGGATTACTTGTTTTGCCTCTCTTCAAGCTGCATTGGGCTGCCGTCCTTCTCTTACCCTTGAACAGGAACCTGAAGTGAAGCACTAAGGCAAAGGTATTCAAATCTCAGCTGAGCTATCTCGGTACGGGTCTCACGCAGGCAAAACCTCGTCTTCATGTTGCATTGCATCGGTGCCTGGGCTCTTTGGGGTACCCACAGGGAAACGTGTCAGCTTCCAGCACTGGGTTTGTTCTGCCCCACATACAAAAACATGGATGAAACAACTCGGGTTTAACGGTTTGAGCTAGTTTTGGAGTGTTTGAAGGGGAAAAATAGCTCTGTGCGTTGGAGCAGGGGAAGAAGCCCTCCTTCATTTCTGTGTTTGGGTGTCATGTAATGAGTTTTACTCCTGCTTGGCTTCTTTTTTGGTTTTGTTTGTCACTGGGTTTGTTCTGCCCCACATACAAAAACATGGATGAAACAACTCGGGTTTAACGGTTTGAGCTAGTTTTGGAGTGTTTGAAGGGGAAAAATAGCTCTGTGCGTTGGAGCAGGGGAAGAAGCCCTCCTTCATTTCTGTGTTTGGGTGTCATGTAATGAGTTTTACTCCTGCTTGGCTTCTTTTTTGGTTTTGTTTGTTTGGTTTTTGTTTGGGGCTTTCCCCCCCCACCCTCCAGGCAAAGTCGATAACCTCTCAAAGGTGAATGCTTCAAGTGGCTTTGGTGCCAGACAACTCCTCTCTGCATTACAGGGTGTTTGTGAAGAGGTCTCATTTGGAGCTCTAGGATTACAAAGCCACGCTGAACGATTTGATCTTCTTGACTAGAAGACAGGGCAGGCTGAAATACACCCCCCCCCACCCTCCAGGCAAAGTCAATACCTCATCAAAGTTGATGCTTCAAGTGGCTTTGGTGCCAGACAACTCCTCTCTGCATTACAGGGTGTTTGTGAAGAGGTCTCATTTGGAGCTCTAGGATTACAAAGCCACGCTGAACGATTTGATCTTCTTGACTAGAAGACAGGGCAGGCTGAAATACAAGAGATGCCCTTTGGCATGTTGGTTAGCGCAAAGCCCTAGAAAAATGAAGTCACCAAAACAATCGCTAAGCTGCCTTACCGGAAAAAAGAGCCCATCTCATTCAGCCGCTTAGAAGTTTTGAAATCTATAAACAAACTGAGGATAGGCTGTAGGATTTAATTAGCTTGAATGTCTTAAGAGAGCTTTCCCAGGAGTCAGGATCATGAGCCAGAGCCACATGAACACAGTGCAGAGGGGCAGAGGCTCGCAGTGCTCAGCTGCACACCACGGTGCTGCTCGGATGCTGCTGGCCGGTGCCGCCATCGCAGCAGCATTCCGGCCCCGTGCGCAGTGTCACCGGCACGGTGTCACCGCTGCCGTTACTTGCGTTGCAGCACCTGGAGGCAAAAGCTCTGTTGGTCAAAACACTGCGCAAGCAGGTAACAAAAATGCAGGCCCCACTCCAAAGACCGTTTCCAACTTTCCTGTTGGAGCTGCTTTTCAGGCCAGCTCAAACAAATGGTTGAGATCCATGCTGTTACAGGACAGGGTGCCTTTTTATCTCTCTGCTGGCCCCAGTCCTGAAATAAGTGGTTTCATCAGCTTCCCAGCTGGCTGGTCCCATTTTATAACAGTCTCTCCTGTTGGCACTGCCAGCCTCACCTTTGCAATGCCAGTCACACGTTAGACAACTTGCTGCAGTTGCCCTCTTTTAGCTTTCACCCCAGTCAGTGAAGCTTTTACGAAGTATACAAACTTAAACGCAGAGAAACTGCAGAGCTGCTGTGCGAAGGCTGGAGACGGATGCTAAGATGTCTGCTCTCACCTACAGGGGTCCCAGAAAGGAACTTGCACCCTTCCTGGCAGGGAATCGTGTGGTACCGCGGCCGAAGGCAGCGGCAGTTGCGCACGGGAGCCCCCATGACCCTGGGCAGCGCTGGCTGCCTGCACGACCGTCCCCATGACCTCCGGGAAAGGCTGTCTGCCCGCACCGCTCCTCCTGACTCGGTGGTAAGTCACTTGCGTACACGTGGCACAGTTTGAGGACTGCGGCTCTGCTGCATTTAAGCAGTGCAGGATGTTTTCCTGGCCCTTTCAGGGCAGGCTGTGCCATCAGGGCAGTGCCCATGCAGGACTGCGCTGCTGCCAGGCGTGCCACGGCGAGCCCCAGCAAACGGGGAAAACTCCAGCTCCTCCTAAGCACAGCACCATGTCTCTAACGAGAACGTTCAGCTGCCTGCAAGGTAGGAGAAGGTAATGCGCAATTATCTTCCGCAGGCTCAGCAGCCTCGAGAGGTACTTTCCTAAATCCAGACGCAGTCTTGCGTGTAGGTGGTCTGATTTTCAGAATTACGGAGAGCTCAGCAGCTCAACTCGCACCCCGAGTGCTTTGGGGAGACAGGCCCCTCCTGGAGCAGCCAAGCGCAGGGCGAGGAACTTGCCCTCTCTCTTGCAAACATTCATTTCCCCTGGCCCCAAGAGGAGAATAAAGCCTTGCAGGCTTGCGAAGGGGTAAGAAAGAGCCCCGCTGAAACAACCGCCCTCCTTTCCCAGCCCTCCCCAGGCTGCAGCGCTCGCTGCCTTTTCAGCTCCCAGACTCTCTTCTGATAAATCATTTGCTTGATGTGCCCCAAAACCCAGCAATTACAGTGCATTAGCATGGATGTATTGTTACCCCCAGACATGACCGGGAGAGAGAGTACGTGCTGACTTGCCCCACTAATTTCAAGATGATACCCAACGCATAAGTTTATCAGAATCTGCCCAAAAACTATTTAAAAATGTGATCAGTAACTGCCCGTTTCACTGGGACTGAATTTTTTTCTTTCTCTCTTTGCGACGCTAAAGAGCTTGAAAATTCCCATGTTTTGCTCAAAGCATACGATAGTGTCACACAGGGGGAAGATTCATGTCCTTTTACTGACGAGGAATGGTATGTAAATGTAATGTGCTGCCACTGGAACATGTTCGCGGTTGGGAGGAAACCCTGTCTGGGAGCACTGGAGGCATTGTCTAAAGCAGTCCCAAACTTTCTTCTGTAAAAACAACCTAAAACACTTTGGAAAGTAAAGTGTAAAGCAGACACAGCAGGGCTGGAGACTGCGTGTTCAGAGCCTGTAGCCAGCCCTGCTGCATGTTAACCATCACAGTTCAGGTTGCTGCACGTAACAACACTGCAAGAGCAACAAGGCAAAAAGAAAAGCCGCAGGCTGGAGGAAAAGGAAAGCAGTAAGGACAGTCTCCAGTTCACACTGCTTGCTGCATAACTCTCCCCAACCCACCCTGATCAAACATACATAATAGATACTTACATCCCATTTGATAGCGCTGATCCTGTGTCCCCTCGGTAATGTCTCAGCAGCAGGCTGCCAAGTAGCCACATGTGGATATAGTTAGCGTTAGACATTCCTCAGCCTTTAAGTGAAACCGAGGAAATCCTCGCTGAGCAAAGCAGCGCTCGGTCTCCTGCACTCTGGGCCGTTTTCATGCTGAAAGCCAGCAAAGTTTCCCCGCGCCCGTGTGCCTACCGGGGAGGGGTGCGTGTGCCAGTGGGGTCTGAGACGAGACGCCGGCCTTCCTCCTTGCACACACTTGCTTACTGTAGCATGGTGGAAGGAGCAACTGCACCAGGGGAAGGAGCTGGGTCCGCTTCCAAGTGCCTGACACGTGATCGGCAGGCTGGGGAGTGCAGATGGCCTCCAGCGCCGCAGAGCCCCACGTCCCGCAGCTCCCCGGGTCTTTCTGCGCGTGGTCATCTGCACCCCGCGGGACAGGGCAGGGACGGGGGTGTCGAGGGATTGAATGCGGAGCCAGGCTGGGGTCTTCCATCAATTCTGCTGTTCTACCAGTTAAAAATTACAACCACAAAAAAGGCTTTTTTTTTTTTTAACTGTAACTTTTTTCAATAGGAAATGTATTAATTTTTCTGCTTTTTTTTCCTTCCCCACAATTTGGCTTTTTTTGTGATTACCTCTGTAAAGGCTCAAAATTAGAAATTGAGGTTGGGTTTAGCTCAGAAGGGAAATCCGCTTGGGGGTTGGTTTCTTTTTTTCTAGTAGGGCAACGATGGGAGGAGGCGGGGGAGCTGAGCGGTGTGGAGGCTGAAGACAGATGCGAGGGTCCCTCCCAAAACACTGAACAAAAAAACCCCACCCATTTTTTTTTTTTTCCATTTAACTTGAATTACTTCAAAACAAAACACTTTTATTTGGAGCCAAATCTAAATTGCCATCGCTACCAATCTGTCAGCTGACTGCAGCCATAGCGTTTCCTATCTCTGTGGCTCCGTTTGTCTCTGCAATGGAATCTTTTTCCCCAATAAAAAAACCCAACCCCACAAAAAAGGCTTTTTTTTTTTTTTTACTGTAACTTTTTTCAATAGGAAATGTATTAATTTTTCTGCTTTTTTTTCCTTCCCCACAATTTGGCTTTTTTTGTGATTACCTCTGTAAAGGCTCAAAATTAGAAATTGAGGTTGGGTTTAGCTCAGAAGGGAAATCCGCTTGGGGGTTGGTTTCTTTTTTTCTAGTAGGGCAACGATGGGAGGAGGCGGGGGAGCTGAGCGGTGTGGAGGCTGAAGACAGATGCGAGGGTCCCTCCCAAAACACTGAACAAAAAAACCCCACCCATTTTTTTTTTTTTCCATTTAACTTGAATTACTTCAAAACAAAACACTTTTATTTGGAGCCAAATCTAAATTGCCATCGCTACCAATCTGTCAGCTGACTGCAGCCATAGCGTTTCCTATCTCTGTGGCTCCGTTTGTCTCTGCAATGGAAACGACCCTTATTCCTCTAACAGAGGCCAAGGGTCTGGAGAATGCCCAGACCACGGCTCCTTTAGTATGCAAAGTTTTTCATTTACAGTGAACTTGTCATAAAACCAGGTTTTGATCTACTCGTTTTCACAAACACGCAACTGTTTTTTAAACATAACATAAAAATGCTTTTTTATAAGTGTCTGTGCTTTTTTTGATGTATTTTTAATTTCAGCTCAAACGTTTTGCTTTATTGAACACCATGTCATCATGAAAAGCTGTCATGTGGATGGGTTCGTGATGAGCAGCCCTCAGGCCCTGTGTTCGGGTGCTTCAGGCTGGGAAAGCCGTTTCCTTGTGACCTGCAGCGGTCTGAAACGCAGCGGTTCCTCGCTGAATAGCGCAGCTGATAAAAAAACCTCGGCCATAAATGTTACTCAGCTTCACGCTTTCCCTGTGCCAACCCAAGGTACCTTTATGCTTCTCTGCAGCAGCAGCCCCAGGCTGTTTTTCATCCCTCCTCCGTAAGGAGGCAGATGACGGTCACGGAGGTGAACAGCAGACCAGTGTGTCCACCTTTGCTCGGAGGGGCTGGCTGCGGAGTGAGGGGGACTGCTCCCTGAAACCATCGGGGACTCACAGCAGGTTTTCCACCGCGTTCTTCCCCCCCCCCAGGGTTTTGGGACCTACTGTCCTCTTTGCTTGCTCCCATGGAGAGTGAAAACAGAGGCTTTCGTTGCTCTGCAGTGCCTTTGTGGCTGCTGTGGCTTGGAGAGTCATGCAGGGAACTTGGGAGGTGGAGGGAGTTTTCTCCATGGGTGCTTCTACTTGGTTGTTGTCTCACCTGTACCTTGTCCCTGGGCACCGATGCACGGCCGATTCATTCTTCTCACTGCCAGCAAAGGTGCCCTTGGTCTGTCCCATGGCATGTCACTGTCTTTATAAGATTGGGTCAGTAATCTTGTTGACCCCCATCTGTAGGTCAACCCTGTTGACCCCGGGTTGGTGTGTTGGCACATGGCTTTAAGTGAGCCATGTGCCAAATGTCCTTCTCCCCGCTGTAGGGCAGAGCCCTGCTCCCCGTCACTGTATTCCTGCAGGCACCAAGCCGTGCGGTTGGGAATACAGCTTTGTGGTAAATAAAGAAGGGCTGATCTTGTGATTTTTCAAGTACTGCCTGAGATTTAAGTGATTCAGGGTGAAATACTGCTGCGCTCGAGTTCACGGCAAAAGGAATTTCCCTGGGTTCAGTTGTCAGGTCAGCCAGTGGCTTCCTGTGCAAAGCTGCTGGAGAAGATTTAATGTCAAAGCTCCTCGGCTCCCCACCTACGGGGCAGGCAGCCTTGTGAGAAAGCTCATTGATAGCGAGGCGCTTTGGGATTACAGCGATGCTGTGGCCTCAGAGGAGTCCCAGATATATAATAGCACTGAAGGAAACACGGGGAGCTCTGCCAGGTTTGGGACAAACCTCCCCTTCTGGTCATGTTTGCTAAAAAAGGCTAATCAAAGCAGTAACTGGAAACTGAACAAACGTGGTGGCTTAGCTCGGTTTCGACTTGAAATCGGAGCCATTAACTTGCACGTGGGGCACCAGCCTCGGCGTGTCAGCAGAAACACACGACTTTGGGCAGGACCCTGTTGTGCATCCAGACACTCTGGCTGGATGCTCCTTTGAGAGCTGGTGATAGCCAATGTGGCCAGAAGTTCAGTGAACCCCTTTCTTACTACTGCATTAAGTGTTTAATGAAAGTCTCCGAGGCACTTTCCATCAAAAGTATACATTTATTTATAAAAATGGAGAAAAAATAGATCAAAGTGCTTTTTTCTACAAAAGACGATTCGTTGGAGGTTGAATGTCCTAGACCTGAGTGTACATGGCATTGCAGTCTACAGCTGTAGATGGCTGATCCAGATCTGATGCTGACTATCGTGGAGATTTGGAATTAGAAGGCCAGCACGGGATTTTTCCACCGATGACTAAGGGACTTAACCACACATCTCCTACGGATTTCAGTTAGAGAGGTATGGCCAAATCCCTTCAGTGGCTTTAAAATTCAATCCAGAGAAGAAAAAAACCTGTAATTGTTTGACTCTAGGCCTTAAATTGCCTCACCGTTTGAGCCCATCTCTGTACAAAAGACAAATGGCCAGACCCTTGTCCGGTGTAAAGCAGTGTATCTCACCAATCTCAGGTACGTGCTCCAGTATGTGGGTTAGACTGAAGAAACCCTCTGGACTCCCATTCTAGTATCTCCTCGGTTTAAGGTGTACAGTACCTTATCTCGTACAGTACTTATATCACAGCTATCCCAGGATTTTCAGTTAAACTAAATCAGCAGTTTAAGTGAATTCGAGGCTCCTCATTGCTGTACGTGCTCGCTTCTGTTTTCAGAGTCTGTGGGCAGCTGCCTTGGAGGTGGCTCTAAGGTACCTTTCGAAACCGCAGAGGGGAGGCGACACGGTGACCCAGGCAGCAGGACAGCTTCTCGATGCCGAACCGGATTTTGAAATGAATGGCAAAACTAACAGGTAAGGAAAAACCCCACCATTTCCTCACACTGGGAAGACCTTTGCCTGGAGCAGTGTCCGCACCAAGCACCTATGCCTTCTCTGAACAAGTAGTTTCCCTCAGCCCTAAGCCTACGTGCTTTTTTGGCCTTATGTTTTCCGTATCTTGACAGTGGTGCAAAGTATATTCTGTTTTCTGCCTCAGCTTCCCCCAAATTTTGAAATGAATACAGTTCTGAGATTTCCCAGCTATGAAACTCCAGCAAACTGTTTTACTCGGAGGCTCTCATTTTTTTTTATAAAGCTCTGTAACCTGCAGTGCTGCGACATTAGCACCCCATTTTGCATTAAAAATAATCCAGATACCCATCTCTTCAATGGTAGGGCTGAAGATGAAAATGGAAACCTGGAAAGTGTTGCTGCGAGCTGTCAACATTCATTTTTAATTTGACTTGCTATGAAAATCTGGAAGAAAATTTTATGATTTCTTTAACGTCCGGCTTGTGATTTTCAAGCGCTTCCGATCAATAATGCTGAACCCTTTTCTTATTTTTGAGTCAAGTACTGTTTTCACCTGACAAACTGGTCCACTGTAAGCAGTTGTGGCATGTGAGAACGGAAGCTGCTGGAAGAGAGCACCTTCCCTATCTGCCACGATGGTGCATCGTTGTCTTCAGCAGATGAATTAATCTATGGTGTATTTTTAGCAAGCATCTAAGAGGGTTAATGTCGGCCTTTCACTGACTCTGCCCTCCAGGACAGTTTGATATTTTTCCTTCGTGACAATTTTATATCAGGGTATACTCTCAGGTTTATTTCTACCAGATGCCTCGCAACAAAGTGTATCTGGTGAGCATTTTAACTTTCACTCTCCTCTTCGTTATTATCCATTTGAAAACTAGCCCAGCTATGCCAAAACAAATCATTCAAATTCTCCTTTGGATGGATCTTTTATTCTTTCTGGCAGACTGAAAGGAGCCTCCTTCAACTCTGAAACATTGCTAAAACTACAAAAACAATCTGTACCACAAAAAAGCCCTCTTGGATCCCTTCCTGTAAGCGCATTTTGGCCTGGTTTCTGCTGTTTGTTTTATACTTTGTCTATTTAATTTTTTTATATGCAACTGATTAGCATCTTTATTTCCTTTTAATACCGTGTGCTGGTTTGCTGCATGCTTGATTCTGAAACACCCTCACCCCCCCACCCCAAATATTTTATTTTTTTTTTTTCCAGACATACCTCAATACCTAGAGCTGTTATGGGATAAGGCCAAATTCACCAGGAGCAGCACTGCCCATGGCTTATCTCACACACCCGACGTTAGCTAATCGGTATAAATAGTAGTAAGGGCGTGTTGCCATCTGAGTAGGTGCGGTGT